AGTTCACCTCACTTTCCCGTTTTGCTCCAGAAGTGGTGTGAGATGAAGCTAACAAGACTCGGAAGTTTGTCTCGGGTCTTAATGATCGAATGAGGCCGTTGATCACGGCACAGTTTATTAAGATTTACTCTGAAGCAGTGGAAAGGGCTTTAATGCTGGAGGCTGACAATAGAGAGAAGGATGCAAGAAGAGAGCAATTGAAGCAAAAGAGGGGTGCAGGGCCATCCTCAGAGGGATCTTCTTGGAAAAGGAACAGGGGCAGTTGATCGGTTGATCAACTATACATCAACCTTCGCAATAGCACGAATCATTGTAAAATAGGGCTATTGGTCGGGTAAGTCGAACCACTGGGACTGCGCTAATCTATGGCAACCTAAGTGTCTAGAGTCATTTTAGAGTGATAAGGTGTAATAAAGAGTTGTTGATTGGTTTGTCACTAAGTTAGAAATGTAAAGATGCATAAAATAATAAATGGAAGGAGATTAAAATGAGTGAAACTTAGGTGGAGAGGACTAGGGAAATAAATCCACCACACACCTCATAAACATGCTAGCTTGCAACTAACTTGGGGAACTACTTATGTAAATGACCATGATATATAGAGATGCGTGATAACTACACTATCTTCAAGAAGTTCATACAATCAGAGCTAAGTATAAACCATCTAGGTATAATCCCCTAGGAATGGCCTATCAAATCCCTTACTTTGTATGGTAAATGCACATGTAATCAAAGACTAAGTATAATCCATCCACAGTTGGTATGAACCATCTACCTAACTACATTAAACTATGGGTGTAGTATGGTTCATCGTTCCTAGGAATGGACTATCAAAACCTTCACAAGACATACCAAGAAAACCATTTCATATTCTCATCTCCATTCTCACTATGAAGATATAAGCCCTATAATCATGAAAACATACAATCTAAGACAAGATGATACATTTAACACAATCATTTATTGAATTGAAGAACATTTACAACATGTGTAAGTCTCTAGAATATGAAAAGATCATAAATACACTTCATTCCCCAAATTAAAACAAGATTATAGCATGCTTACAAAGGAGGCTTCATCACCTCCCTAGATGGAGGTTTAGTTATCCATTGATGCACTAGAGGAAGGAGGAAGCAAAGCCTTGACCTCCATTTTCGAGCTCCCCTCTTCTAGCTCCAAGAACACACCTTTCTTGCTCTCTTCTCTCTCCTCTATCTTGTAAAAATGAAGCTTAATAATTTTGTGTGGCTCTCCCCCCTTTATCTAGATAAGAAATCCATCCCAAAAACCCTCTCTCTCCTCCAAGAAACATCCCCAACCAACTCATAAAGGAGAGCTTCCAAAGTAGGTAAAATCTGAGCACAAGTGGGCTGAGTCGTGTAGAATTCTGCCCTAATTTCGAGTGCTCGAAATAGGGCCTCGAGCACTCGAAAATTGGGCAGAATGCCCTATGTTTGGTTTACTCTGCCCGGACCTACTTTGGTAAAATGGCCATAACTTTGAGCTCCGAACTCCGAATGATGAACCGTTTGAAGATTTGGAAAGCTGATTCAAAGCTCTAAAAACTTCATGTTTTGGTGGAGATCCAATTCTCAAGTCTGGTTGGTCGAAATTGAAGATCAAGGCAGAATTTCATTGCTGCCAGGCAGTTCTGCGCACCTCTGGTAACAAGGCCATAACGCTCTGCTCCAAGCTGTGAATGACAAACCGTTTGAAGATTTAGAAAGCTAATTCAGAAATCTAAATCTTTCATGTTATGATGGAAGTCCAATTCTTGAGTTTGGTAGGTCAAAATGGCGAACAAAGTTCGGGCTTCACTGCTGCCAGAAATTCAGCTTTTGAGCACATTGTTGATCAAAAATCCACAAGGGCTTATATTTGCTCCCTTTTTGCAATTAAACCTGAAAATGCCTAAAAACACACAAATGAAGATAATCTACAGAATTAAACAAACATCAGACTTAACTAATGCAATTTAGGGCGCTTGAATATATACAGTATTCGGCGCTTATCACACCCCCAAACTTACATTTTGCTAGTCCCTTAGCAAAACTATAATAAAAAACTTAATGAAAAGACAACCATGGGCATGCTACTACAAAAATATCATCCATGGTAAAATGAGATATATACATAGCTCAAAAATAACTTGAAACAGAAAAAGAGTTGGAGATGGGGTCATTGGGAAGACTACCTTGCATATATGAAGCATTGATACTAAACACATTTCAACATGCATGTATCAACATCATAGTCCATATAAATAACTCAATTGTCATCTCTTAAATGGAAGTCAACTCTAACTTTAGTGAAAGTAGATTGGATTCTCAACATGCGGCTTTTACTTTCTTTTCCAATTTCCAAGCACAAGTTTTTAAATCATTGAATTCCCCTTTAAATGAGGTCCCTAAGGCATGATTTTATTTATAAGACAACTTTTGTTGCTTGTTAACAATTTATTGTAACTGATAAGCGAAACATAGAATGGTTGTGCAATGCTGAAGTCCCTTAAGCTTTCTAACCAACCTATGTAGCAAGCGTTAGGCCAACAGCTCCCAAACCAGATGGCTTTAGGTTGTTAAGTGTAGAGACACTCCAAAGGGCTTAATAGCTCAAGTTGGAAAGGCTACGAACTCCAGCAAACCATGTTTATTACAATTTTTTTTTGATTGACCGTGCAATGTTTAAGTCCTTTAAGCTTTCTAACCAACCCTTGTAGCAAGCGTTAGGCCAACAACTCCCAAACCAGACGGCTTTAGGGTGCTAAGTGTAGAGACACTCCTAGGGCTTAATAGCTCGAGTTGGAAAGGCTATGAACGTCAACTGGTCATTATTTTCTTTCTTTCTCAGTTTTTTTTTTTTTTTTGTTTTTTTTTTAGATAACTTAAATCATGCCAAAGATATTCATTTATCAGGTTCATCAAATCAAATTAACTAGGCCAAGGTCAAGGTCGATCAAGTTGCATGCCTCACAGTTTAGTTTCCAATGTGCATATGTGCATTGTGAAGCTTAAAAGAGTGTCGAATCTAGCAAGAATCTAATTAAAACCTTTATACAGACTAATTTGAATCCACATGATCATTTCAACTCAAATTTTTCTTTATTTTCAAAAATGTCAATTGCTTCTATACACAAGGTATTAAACATATGCTTCATCTCCAACTAGTGTCAAGTTATACTATCATTGCTTAGCAAAAATGCAAAACCAAAAATGCATAAATGCACCCCCAAACTTGAATAACACAGTGTCCTCAATATGTGAAGACAAGCATACCAAAATAAGAGCAAAGGGGGGAAAAAAACAATAATACCAAGTGGAGTGACGACGACGTAGATGTGCAGTCATGTGAGTGCGCAACGGCGTCCCCCAAACTTGGACATGAAGACCTAAATTTTAGTGCAAGATAAAAATCCAAACAAAACACAAATGCAGACATTAGCCACAAGTTTAAAATAGATAACAAAATAGGGCCAAAAGTGGGGAATTTAGAGAGATGAAGTTGGCTCAAGAAATTCATCAAACACGTGGTGTGCAAGACAAAAAGGAAGAGGGCCAAAGGTTGATTAGAGATGAGAAAATCCAAAAATTTGCCCTGCAAATGCAATACACAACTTCCAAACAATCACAAATCCTTCACACAAGCAATCCCATTCTCCATTGATCAAAAATGGAAAGAAAAAGAGGGTTAGACACTTACCCAACAATGGAGAACACAAGGCCCATTATTTGTGGTTAATAGAAGATGTGGATGAGAGATTGATGGATGGGTGGGTAAGCATGCATGGGGAGTGGAAGGAAATGGATAAGCATGTATGGAGAGCTGCATGCATGCATGCATGGTGGAAAATGTGGGGTGGAAGTGGCGGTGCATGCATGAATGCATTTCCTTGTGTGGTGGTTTGGTTATGGAGGGATGGAGTGGTTGAGTTGCAGAGAGGGAAAGATGAGTTGTGTGTGGGTTGGTTGGTTTGTGTGGATGTTGGTGAGGCTCGGTTAAGAGGGATGAGTGGTTGGTGTTGGGCTCGAGCACTCCAAATGGGAGTTGGAGTGCTCGAGTTTTGGGCAGTGGGTTCGGGATTGTGAGGATGGTGAAGTTGGTTCACACTTCGAGCACTCGAAATGGCCATAACTTTACGCTCCGAACTCCGAATGATGAACCGTTTGAAGATTTAGAAAGCTGATTCAGAGCTCTAAAAACTTCATGTTTTGGTGGAGATCCAATTCTCAAGTCTGGTTGGTCGAAATTGAAGATAAAGGCAGAATTTCATTGCTGCCAGGTAGTTCTGCGCACCTCTGGTAACAAGACCATAACTCTCTGCTCCGAGCTCTGAATGACAAACTGTTTGAAGATTTAGAAACCTAATTCAGAGCTCTAAATCTTTCATGTTATGATGGAAGTCCAGTTCTTGAGTTTGGTAGGTCAAAATGGTGAACAAAGTTCGGGCTTCACTGTTGCCAGAAATTCAGTTTTGAGCACATTGTTGATCAAAAATCCACAAGGGCTTATTTTTGCTCCCTTTTTGCAATTAAACCTGAAAATGCATAAAAACACACAAATGAAGATAATCTATAGAATTAAACGAATAACGGACTTAACTAATGCAATTTAGGGCGCTTGAATATATACAGTATTCGGCGCTTATCAGCAGTCCATCTCAGTTTCAGGGGCAACAGTCTACAAGATCTGCTCCTACCACTCCTATGCCAGCTGGACCTGACAGGAGTGCAGTTGTTTGTTATCAGTTGTCCGATGAGATCGTCTTCAGTTTCGTCAGCTTCGAAGGCTTGTTATGGGTGTGGCCAGCAGGGTCACCTGATTCGTGATTGTCCAAGTCAGAGAGCAGGCACCATTAGTGGCAGAGGGTCACAGCAGAGGCCATCACAATCGGCTACAGTTCAGTCAGGTTTCAGACCACCACCACCACAGCCTACTATGTCTTCACAGGGTTCACGAGTAGTTAGGAGGGATACTCCTACTATGTCAGTGCAGCAGTCAGGTGTTCAGGTTGGCAGTCCTCATGCACAGGTACCACAGGGACGTGTTTTTGCACTGGCACAGACCGATGCATCTTCTGGACCGTCAGTTCTTCGAGGTATATTTCCAGTGTTTGGTTGTTGGGCCCGTGTTTTGTTTGACTCTGGTGCATCTCATTCTTTCATTTCATCATCATTTGCGATTGCATCGGGGTTAGAGGTTAGTTTCATGGATCGGGCGTTATGTGTCGATACGCCAGTTGGGGTTTCAGTGTCATTGAGCCGAGTTGTGCGGGATTGCTCCATTGTGATAGCCGGGGGGACCTTTGTGTTTGACCTTATCCTCCTGGAGATGACTAGCTTTGATGTCATTCTCGGGATGGATTGGTTGGCTTCATTTCATGCCACAATCGACTGTTACAGAGGAAGGGTTACAGTTTGCACTTTCGAGGGAGACTGTTTTTTTTTCGTGGGAGATCGGAGTGATTCCCATATTTCATCGTTTTATGGAGTTCGTGGACGGAGTCGTGGTGATTACTTCTTGGCTAGTCTTATAGCCGAAGAGGATGATGTTGTGGAAAAAGAGTATCCTGCAGGTGTTCATGATTTTTTGGATGTGTTTCCAGAGGATTTGATAGAGTTGCCTCCACATCGAGAAGTGGAGTTCTCTATTGAATTGATGCCAGGTACCGCACCGATTTCTATGGCACCATATCATATGGTGCCAGTTGAATTGGAAGAATTGAAGAGGCAGCTTGATGATTTGAGGATGAAAGGTTTCATCCGACCGAGTGTGTCACCGTGGGGCGCACCAGTCTTGTTTGCTTAGAAGAAAGATGGTTCTTTGAGGTTGTGCATCGATTATCGGAAGTTGAATCATGCCACCATCAAGAACAAGTATCCTTTGCCAAGGATAGATGATTTATTTGATCAGTTGAGGGGAGCCAGTTGTTTCTCAAAGATTGACTTGAGGTCTGGCTATTATCAGTTGCGGGTTAGGGATGAGGATATTCCGAAGACAGCATTCCGTACACGGTATCGACACTATGAGTTCCTTGTTATGCCTTTTGGCTTGACTAATGCGCCAGCGGCATTCATGGACTTGATGAACCGCGTCTTTCACGATTACTTGGACCAGTTTGTGGTAGTTTTCGTGGATAACATTCTTGTGTACTCACGGACTCGGGAAGATCACGAAGTTCATTTGAGTATTGTTTTATAAATTTTACGGGAGCACCGATTGTATGCCAAATACGAGAAATGTGAGTTTTGGCTATAGGAGGTGAAGTTTTTGGGGCATGTTGTTTCAGAAGGTGGAGTATCAGTTGATCCATCAAAGGTTGAAGCAGTTTTGACTTGGGAGCGACCGAAGAATGTGTTTGAGATCCGCAGTTTCCTTGGTTTAACGGGTTACTATCGGAGATTTGTGAAGGATTTCTCCCATTTGGCAGCTCCTATGACCCGTTTGACCCGGAAAGGGATCAAGTTTGTCTGGAATGAGGCCTGTGATTCATCTTTTCAGGAGTTGAAGACGAGATTGACTACAGCGCCAGTGTTGGTGATACCTGAGCGTGGCTTGGGTTATGTGATCTATTGTGATGCTTCACGTGATGGGTTGGGATGTGTGTTGATGCAGGATGGTAGAGTAGTGGCTTATGGGTCTCGACAGTTGAAGACTCACGAGTACAACTACCCTACTCATGACCTGGAGTTAGCGGCAGTTGTATTTGCCTTGAAGTGTTGGAGACATTACTTGTATGGTGAGAGATTCGAGGTATTTTCAGATCACAAAAGTCTCAAGTACCTTTTTTCCCAAAAGGACTTCAATAACAGACAGAGACGATGGGTTGAGTACTTGGAAGATTACAACTTTGATTTGCAGTATCATCCGGGCAAGGCAAATGTTGTAGCTGATGCCTTAAGCCGGAAATCTCGTGGAACTTTGGCCAGTTTAGCTATTCGGAAGTGGAAGATACTTGAAGATCTGGCAGAGATGGGATTACAGTGTTGTGATGATGATGGTTGCAGTGAGTCGGCATTCTTATTTAGTCTTGTAGCTCAGCCTACTCTTATTGTACGAGTGATTGAGTCACAGAGACAGGACCCGGACTTAGATGCCATCCACGCTTTGATCTCTAGTGGCGAGACAGTGAAAGATTGGGCCTTGCATGTAGATGGGGGTCTATGGTTCAGGGGTTTGTTGGTGGTTCCCATATGTTGTCGTGAGGACGTCCTACGGGAGTTTCACACTTCCCGCTTTGCAGTTCATCCAGGTGGTACCAAGATGTATCACAATTTAAGACGTCAGTATTGGTGGAACGGGATGAAGAAAGATGTTGCATAGTTTGTGGCTAGATGCCTTACCTGTCAGCAGGTGAAGGCCGAGCATCAGAAGCCAGCAGGTTTGTTGCAACCATTACCTGTAGCGCAATGGAAATGGGAGCATATTGCTATGAATTTTGTGACAGGTTTTCCAAGGTCAAGAAGGGGCAATGAGGCCGTATGGGTCATCATTGACAGATTGACCAAGACGGCTCACTTTTTGCCTATTAAGGCAACAGATGATGCAGAGAAGCTTGGTGTTCTTTATGTGAAGGAGATTGTAAGGTTACATGGAGTTCCTGTAACCATTGTGTCAGATAGGGATGCCAAGTTCACTTCGAAGTTCTGGGAAGGACTTCAAGCAGCGTTTGGTTCAGCGTTGCATCTTAGTACGGCATTCCATCCACAGACAGACGGTCAGTCGGAGCGTACTATCCAGATTTTGGAGGATATGCTTCGGGCATGTGTACTTGATTTGGGAGCTAGTTGGGAGGATCACCTTCCACTTATTGAGTTTGCCTACAACAACAGTTATCAAGCGAGTATCCAGATGGCTTCATTTGAGGCGTTGTATAGTAGACCTTGTAGGTCTCCTGTTTGTTGGACTGAGGTAGGTGAGACAGCCGCCTTAGGACCCGACATTGTACTCGATACTACTGAGAAGATTAAGTTGATAAGACAGAGGTTACTTACAGCCCAGAGCCGACAGAAGAGCTATGCAGATAAGCGGAGACGACCGTTATCCTTTGAGGTGGGAGACCACATTTTTCTAAGGGTTTCTCAATGGAAGGGATTGATGAGATTTGAAAAAAGTGGCAAGTTGTCGCCACGATTTATTGGACCGTTTGAGGTTTTGGACCGAGTAGGAGAGGTTGTCTACAGGCTTACTTTGCCACCACAGTTGGATAGGGTCCACAATGTTTTCAATGTATCGATGTTACGGAAGTACAAACCGGATCCATCTCACATTTTGAGTTGGGTAGATGTGGACATTGATGAGGATGTTTCCTACGAGGAAGGACCAGTTCAGATTCTTGACACACAACAGAAGGTGTTGAGGAACAAGACGATACCAATGGTGAAAGTCCTTTGGAGACACCACGGAGTCGAGGAAGCTACCTGGGAGCCTGAACAGGAGGTTCGCTCCAGGCACCCAGCGTTGTTTTCTTCCTCAGGTATGTCTTGATTTCGGGGACGAAATCTTTTAAAGTTGGGGAGAGTGTAATGTTTGTGCCTTTATATATATATATATGTCTGTGTGTGCGGTGTGTATTAAGAAAAAAAAAAAAGAAAAAGAGAAAACAAATTAAAATTTTGGTGGGACCCACCACCACATCCAAAAAGGGTTTGAGACCACAATTGGTCTCCATTTTTCTTCTCTCCCGCTGGCCCTTCCTTCTGTTTCTATTTCTGGATTTTTCTTTTTCTTTTTGAACTCAAACTTCATTCTTAGATTACTCCTCCACCTTTTGTCGGATTGAGGTGCCGTTTGAGGCAAAACGAAGCTCGTGTCAAGCTCTACACATCCATACAAGCAATTTTAGATTTTGTGCCCCTTTGGATTTCGAATCTTGAGACCCATTTTATAGGGTTTTGGGGCAATCTTGAGGTAGGGGCATCTTAATCCACTCTCTTCTTGTTCCATTGTGAGTTATACTCTTTTGTTGTGCTAGACATGCTAAATTTGAGAATTAATTGCTTCAATGAGGTGTAAGTGATGTTTAGAAAAAATTCATGTCTTAGGGTTATGACTTGTCTATGTGAAAAGCATGTATAGATGATGGCTTTGTGGTGTTTTTTGTGAATTATACCTCTTTTATGTGCTAACATGCTTTACTTGGGGATTAATTGTGTTAATGATTATTTTAATGTTGTCTAGAGAAATGTATGTTTATGCACATGTGATGTATTATGTGAAAAGCTTGCCTATGTGTTGAGTTTATGTCTACTATGTGTAAACTTACTGAAAGTGATGTATGAGACCATGCTTAATTGTATTGTGCCAAAATTTCACATTGTCATGATATTGAGATTATTTGTACATTCTTGGACATGTCATTGGGATGCATGAAATGGGAGAATTTGTCTTGAAATGAAAATGAGGAATTTTTGGGAGATGATAGTTTTTGTGAAATGGTTTTAATAAACCCGGTTGCTGCGGGGTTACCAACGGGCCGGAGGTTAATATAGCCTAGAGGGGACTAGGGAGTAGCCCTAATGTGGTTGAGCTAGCTGGGCCCCATAATGACGCCGCAGGGTTACCAAGGGTCAGGGACACTAGCCAATCCTCCTCTCGTGTCGCGGCAGGGTTACCAAAGGGTGGGCTGTATTAACGTTTGAAAGTGATGATTTTGAGAATGAGAATGGGGAGTGTCATTGACATGCATTGCATTTCATTTCATTGCATTGCATTGTTTATACTTGGAATTGACTTGTATGTTGTATTTGATCCCCTACGTTGTATGATCCCTATCTCCCATTGGCCTATGCTTTGATTGGATTCACTAGGACACAAGAATTGTGTCTTAAGTGTCTCTGCTGAGCTATATACTCACCCCTATATCTATATATTTTTTTTCAGGTCTTGGAAAAGAATCGGTGGACGACAACCCACCTCAAGCCTGAGCGATACTAGAAGCTCACTTTTGTGTCTTTTGTATATCTCCCATTATTTTTGCAAAGCACTAAAAGTGTGAAGGTGTATATGTATATTTTGCAAAACTTTGTCATGTAATGTAATTAAGGTATTTGATGATATTTTGGATGTGAATTTGATAACATGTAAACCTTATTGATGAATGGGGAGAGTAATACTAGTTTGAAGTATTATTGAGGTCATTTGATTGTGTATTATCATCTACTATTGCCGTGAATTCGGAATTTGAGCCATGATAAGTTTAAAAAATGAATTTAAACAGGTTGCGGTAGGTCCATTTTTTGGGGAGGTTATGCCGAATTTTTTTTAAAAAAAAAAATTTCTTGGCATTAGTTTTGGGATCGTTACAGGTTCACTGTAATTATATTCTATTTATGTTAGTTGCTCTAACTTTCGGGGGGGGGGGGGGGGGGGGGAAGACATATATATATATATATATATATATATATATATATATATATATATATATATATATATATATATGTCTTTCCCCCCACCCCCCATATATATATATATATATATGTCTTCCCCCCCCCAATATATATATATATATATATATATATTGAACTATAACATTTTTCTATATTGAACTATAACATTTTTCTCTAACTTTAAAATTATAAATGTGGTCCTGGAGTGTCATTTTGTTGTCTTGACGTATATATCTAAAAACTCATTGTGAGACATGTACCGCTACACAACAAATATTTGATTGTTAGGCTCTTTTTTCATGTTAAAGTAATAGTACAAGTATAGAAAAGTGTCACGCGCCCAAAATACAAAGATTGTGGCCTTGATGTTTTTTTGTGGACCACAATTATATTGAGACATATGCTGTGAAACACGGATACGAAATATAAGTATGAAACGATACGAATACGACGTCATGGCAAATTTTAAAAAAATAGGATACGAACTTGGACACGGCAAGGATATTATATGCTTATAAAATAATATATATATATATATATTCAAAATTCACAATACCATAAATCTAACCTCCCTAAAAAAAATACTACAATAAAATAAATACTTCAATTAATTAAGAACAAAGTAAAGTAATCAACAACTTTACGGTTTACATTTTACACACATCCATATATATAATTGTTCTGATTTCTCTCTATTTTTCTTGCTACGGCCTAAAATTTTATTTAATTCTAGTATTGAGATGAATGAATAAAAAATAAAATAAAAAAACATAATGGAATCATAAAATTTAATAAAAGTAGAAATTCAGAATCTCAAACAAAAGAGTTAAACTTTTAAAATTACATTAGGTACTCCATTTTTTTTTAAAAAAATTACAAAATATATCCTGCCGTGTCCGATATGTGTCTCTCGCGTGTCCTAGTCGTGTTCAATAAAAAATAATTTCTAAACACTTGAAGTGTCGGACATGTATCCACATCGGTTACGTGTCCGACACTAGTACGGAACCCCTAGGAGGGGTGTCTGTGCTTCGGACACGCGTATCCGTATCGGACACATGTTCATCACTAGTACGAAACTCTTGAGAGAGGTGTTCCTGTTTCATAGAACATATGTATCTCAAAACTTATATTAAGACATCTATCGCTACACAACAAATATTAGGTTGTTAAGCTAGTTTTTGTTATTATTGTTTGGAAAGTTGAAGTAATAATATAAATCCAACAGAATGTCAAATGCATCAACACAAAGTATAAAAGAATGTGTTACTCGTGTATTTCTTGTCAAATCAAATCTCAAAACTCATATAGCGAGACATGTTCCACTACACAACAAATATTTGCTTGTTAGGCCTTTTGCGTTTTTTCGTTCAATTATTCTTTTGAAAGTTAAAGCAATAATATAAATATAGAAAAATGTCAAAGCCCAGAGGCCCAAAAAGTACACAAAAAGATGTCAGGCATGTGCATCTTAAAGCTCATAGAGGGACATGTACCGCTACACAATTAAGAGCAATGCTTGGATCACAAGCTTTGTCCTCCATCCTGATGTGGCCCTACGAAAACTTGATACCTGTTTAAATATTATATAATATTAAAAAATGAAAGTATATGGATCAACTCGTTACAAACGGGTTTTTTGGCAAAAGCTTTGGCTTATCCTCACTAACCAACGCGCAGAGTCCTCTCCATGGACCATCCTTCTCCTCCGCCACAAGTGGCATCTCTCCACCCTCTACCCCAAAATCGCAAATTTGTCACCGCCGTCAAAGTATTTCCTTTATCGCGCTTCGCCACCGAAAAATCGCTGTCAACCGTGCTCGCCGTTGTTCGGCATCACCGTTCGTTGTAGCCGGCGAATTCAGTGCACTGCCAACCTTGCTTCTGTCGGTGTTTTACTGGGTTTGACTCTATTCAGCTTCAACGAAACATTTTAGGAACCTAAGTTTATGTTTTTGGGTTCAAAGCCCTTATTATGATTATGATGAAAGAAGAAGAGTAATTACAGTTCTGCACAGTGAATATCACATGGATTTCGGCTCAATTTACAAATTGGCAAAGAAGTAATGACAAATTCCTCTAGTTCTTCCATTTGTGGAAGGACAAAAAAAACAAATTGCTAAAAAAAAAGACCCAGTTGTAGCTCTGTGTTGGGCGATATATATATATATATATATATATATATATATATATATATATATTGTATGCATATATGTATACGTATACTTTCATGGGTTCTGTAATTGTTGTATAAAAATCGAGAATGAATTTTGGTGGGATTTCTGGGTATGTTTGGATTGATGGAATCGTGAGGTTTGGAGTTGGGGTCACTGCAATTATTGTTTACATATTAGTACTTTTGCTGCAGTTGGAGCTTTTGGCACCTCCAATTTAAGGTTTGGTGTTGGACGCCGAACAACAGCGAGCATGGTTGATTGCGATTTTCTAGTAGATATGCGCGATGAAGGAAATACTTTGACGGCGGTGACATGATGTTGTGTTGGGTTTCAATGTTTCTCTTTTTGGCCTTAGAAGTAAGTAGCGAAGAAGAGAGGAAGAACTGAAGGAGAGAGAAAATGGGTTTGTCTGATGGATTTCTACCCGGCTAACCAATTTGACCCAATATTTAAGAAGAGACAGGTGTCAAGTTTTCATAGGGCCACATCAAGATGAAGAACAAAACTTGTTCTGATAGGGCAGGATCGAAGTATTGCTCCACAATTAATACTTGGTTGTTAGGCTGCTTTTTTTTTTTTTTTTTTTTTTTTTTTTTTTTTTTTTTCAATTACTTTTTGAAAGCTAAAGCAATAATATCAATATAGAAAAATGTCAAGCACACAGGCCCAGAAGGTACAAAAAAATGTCAGACATGTGCATCTCAAAGGGCATAGAGGGACAAGTACCGCTACACATACTTGGTTGTTAGGCCATATTTACTCCCATTAATTTTTTTCGTTTCTGTGAAGTTAAAAATGTACATGAGAGTTAAGGAAAAGACTGTTCGAGCCCATATGAGGTGCATAGGTTGAAAATACAAAAAGGCCCGAACCCATAATGCAAAACAGCCCAAAACGGACACAGCCCACAAGGGGATTAAACTGAGACTGTCATCAACGGCTGGACTTATCACAATCCTTGCAAATGTTGGGCGTTGGGAACAGATTTCCTATCAATAACGGCTTAAAAGAAAACCAATGTGAATGAACTCGATTGATTTTGAACCCTCAATTATCAAGTAATATAATTTGAGAACAACGAAAAAGGGAAGCCGATTTTCGAATATGATCAAATCAAGCATACAGCAATTGCGCGTCCAACATGTTCTAAAATTTGGTCATTTTCATCTACTCTAACCTTGTGTGAGCACTTCAAGAGCAGTTCAATGATGATCAACCATCAAGAGGCATCAAATGCACGAATTCATCTGAAGTTTGGCGCGTACGGATTCTGTGTAACATTTACGTACCTTTTCCTCCGGTTCCCTCATTGCAAATCATTTTAAATAAAAATAACAATAATAATTAATTTCAATAAATAATTCTTTTAAAATATAAGAGTATTACATGCATTATTGCGTTTGGCAATTATCTAGATGAATCATCTTGGATGATGCCAAAGGGGAGGATTTGAATGCAATGAAAATTTAATTCCTTATTTTAGTCACTAATGTAAGTTAATATAGGGATACATACTGTTCGATTCTTGGCTAAATCAGATCTGAACATATTTTAACGGCTTCTAAAAAATTAGAATCAGAATCATTGAGACTTGGAACTGAACCGTGAAAGACCCGTTCAATTTGGTTCCTAACCACAGCTTTTATTTTTTTATCTTTCAAAAAAAAAAAAAAAAAAAAACACACTCAACAACTCATACCAATAAAATGGATTTGACTTATCAAAGCAAATACTACTTTATATAACAAATGGACCATAATAAACTTCTCAACCATGAAATAAAATATATTTGTAATCTAAAAACGAATGAGCTATTATCCTTTTTTTTTTTTCGTGAAATAAATATAAAATTTAGAAAAAAAAAAATATCATTCGAGTGTAGCCTTATCTTTATGTGTAGCCTAAAAAACATATTTTTGTGCAACTGTGCGTGCTTTTATCTCTATGACATATTTTAAATTGTTGTTTATTAAAATTTAATATCTCTCTATATAATATATATTTAATTTATGGTTCGGTTCAGTTTACTTCTGATCTAATGAATGGATAATTGGAACCGAAACAGTAAACTAACGGTTCCTCATTTTAGAACCGGAACCAGAATCAAACTATAAAATAACTATGCTTGTGATGGTTTGGTATCATTCCTACCCGTTTCACTATTTCAACAGTTCTTTGTGCAACCCTAAATTTTGTAGTAACAATAATAAGAAGAAGGCCCGACCCAACCTCATTTGGGCTCTGTGCAAAGTGTGGGCTGCCCACAGATCATAGACCGGGTCAGCTCTTACTACAAATTCTGGGTCAGCCCAACAAATTGGAGGGAGCCATATGGGCCATTCTGGGTAGATCTAGAACCATATATATGCCTATAATTTGTTGACAGAGAATGAAAGCAGGGACATATGGATACGCTATTAACTCTAGAAATCTCCCGCAAAACGACACCGACATGGAAATTAAACGGCAGCAGCGGCAATAACAACGGCCTCCCCAAAACCCCATTCACAAAAACCCTAAAAACACCCCCCAAAGTGTCTATAAATCCTTCTTCTGCTTCGCTTCTATTGAAAAGGAAATCATATAATGGAAAGCCTAACAAGAAGAATTCCACTAAACAAACAACCCCCCTCCTGGAAAAATCCCATGAAAATCAGAGAATCAGGACCTTACCTGAAAGGTTCAGAAAGGAAGATTCAAACCCACTTCAGACACTCAAACATGATGGAGATTGGACCAATCACCAGTTTTGGGCTGTCATCAAATTTCTCAAACAAACCGCAAGATCCAAGGAGGCTATTCAGGTCAGCACCCCGCATTCTCTATAGATGTATGTATGCATGTATAACATTATATATTTTTGTATATATCAATATAGTTGACTTCTTTGCTGGAAATTCTGGTAGTATATTTTTTGGGTTTTTCCAAGATTCTGCTCTATGTGGTTGTTGGGAGTTTTACATTGTTTGGTTGCCTGGAAAACTTAGGGAACGGATAGAGAAATGAAATTATTGGATCTTATACTTGTTTGTTTGGTTTCTGAAAAATCGAAAGAGTAACCACAATTCATCCACATGTTGGTACTTCCTATGAACTGAACACTGAACAGAGATTCTTGTTTTCTCTGGCGCCAAATAAAGAATAAAATTTTCTGCTTTAGATTCTTTTACTTTCGCAATTTACTCAGCAATCAAACAATGGAAAGAACACAATGGGTTTTTGTGGGACTGGCAGTGTTGAATAGAAGTCTGAAGTATGTTGTGGACAGGTGTTTGGTTTATGGAAGAACACGAATGAATCGCGAATTAACGAATTGAACTATGAGAAGATTATAAGGTTCTTAGTTGAGGAGGGACTAATGGAAGATGTGGTATTGGCATATGAAGAAATGAAGAATCATGGACTTAAACCTTCGGTGGAGATCTATAATTCATTGATTTATGGCTTTGCCAGAAAAGGGAGGTTTGAAGATGGTTTGTTTTATCTGAAGCAGATGGAGGAAATCAATTTAAAGCCAGATACAGAAACCTACGATGGGCTCATTGAAGCTTATGGGAATCATGGAATGTATGATGAGATGGCCAAGTGTGTGAAGAAGATGGAATCCGATGGGTGTATACCTGACCACATTACATATAACTTGCTTATCCAGGAGTTTTCACGAGCTGGGCTGCTCAAAAGAATGGAGAGAGTGTATCATATTTTAATTTCAAAAAGAATGGATTTGCAGTCATCGACATTAGTATCAATGCTTGAGGCATATGCTAACTTTGGAATCTTGGACAAGATGGAGAAGGTATATAAAAGGGCTTTGAACTCAAAACGCTTTTGAAAGAGGACTTAATTCGGAAATTGGCTAGATTTTATATTGAGAATCACAGGTTTTCTAAATTAGATGACTTGGGACTTGATCTTTCTTCTAAAACTGGCATGACTGATTTTGTTTGGTGTTTGCGCCTGCTTTCTCATGCTTGTCTTTTGAGCCGTAAAGGCATGGATTCGATTCTTCAGGAGATGGAATTCGAAAAAATACCATGGAATGCAAGCATTGCAAACATCATCTTGTTAGCTTATTTGAAGATGAAAGATATGAAGCAGTTGAAAGTCGTACTGTCAGAGCTGCCTGCTCGATATGTGAAACCTGATATTGTCACTGTTGGAATCCTATATGATGCATTTAGGGTCGGTTTTGAAGGAAAATGGGTTCTAATGACATGGAGAAAAATGGGATTTCTTGATGAGGCTGTTGAAATGAACACTGATGTTATTGTTCTTACTGCATTTGGAAAGGGGCATATCCTTAGAAGTTGGGAAGAGAGCCACTCCCTTGAACCCAAAGGAAGACAAAAGAAAGTATGGACATATCACCATGTGATCAATTTGTTTTTCAGACACGATAAAAGGCCTTCTCAATTAATTGGTGTTGAATAAAGTTAGATACCTGGCCTGTAATGATTTTTGTAAATGTTGAGACCTCTCTAGGTGGACCAGAACCAATTTTTTCTACTGGTATCATTCAGGACTAGAAAATCGAAAGCTGGAGGAATTTTTTTATTTTTATTTTTTCTTCTTCTGGGGCAATGCCAACTGCCATGTATTACTTAAGAAATTCTTATAAAGCATTGAAACTCATATATTGACATTTTATGATTCTGTGGAAATTTTTATTTCAATTTTCAGCCCTGCTGCTGTTGTATTTCTCCATGTCTTTCTGATATCTCTTATGTTTTCCATTTATGTTTTAGGATCCATTGAATGGATGGACATTTGGAATAAGATAGATCAGACTTTGAGGATTTGTGAGGTGTAGCTTAAATTTACATTTGATAACTCATATTTCAATAAGATATGTGAATAGATTTGGAAGACATTTGGATTTGAAAGCAAAAGGTACAAGACATTAATTGAAATCTAGGCTAAGAAAGATTACAAATTTTGAATTCGGAAGCGGGAAATGATTTACACAAAATGATCTAGAATTCCAAGTAAATAAATTAATAGATTTTCTCAAGGCAAACATAAAATTTAATAACCAGTACAACAGCACTTACAACTGAGGTCTGAAGCCAAACCAATACAGTCTATGCTAAGTCTTCATGCTGATTTAAAGAAAAATGGAAATTTACACAATTAGCATAAAGAATGAACATGGACATGCCTTATGTTAACTAAATTTGAGGAGCTTCTTGGTCACCCTTGCCATGTCTTACATCAACTGAACTTGACACTCTTCTTAGTCTGCGAATAGCTACGAAAGCTAGGATAAGAATGATCATCAGAATGCAGGATCCCATGATTAGACAAACTTTACCAGCTTTATGAACGATTTTCTCTTCTAACTTATCTGGAGTAATTGCGGAAATAGAAACAGCAATAGCTACCATAACGGGTACAATTGTCAAGCACATGATCCCAATCAAAGCCCAAAATGTAGCTTGGTTCTTGAAGGCGGATTCAGTAATGAGCATAAAGATTGTGGTTAGAGATGTACAGAAACCCATTAGATTAGCAATATAGAAATATGCATATGGTCCTGGATGGTTATAAGCCATTACAGCATCCCCTGCCTTGTGTGGATTTGGCACAGGGCTACCCTGGAAATTTTCGGTTGAGTCATCTTGCCACACACCTCCTGGAGGGTTTATAGCAGTTTGTAAAGTCATTGTCGCGATTAGAGACACCACCAACATTATCAAATTCCGCTTCTCCGCCAGCCACTCCCTCGTAGTATTAGTACCGCCACTATGTTGCAAATCGTTCATCAATGGTGTACTTTGAGCATGTACACCTAAGAGCACTGAGTTAGGGGTAATGGTTCCAATTTCATTACCAGACAGCAACCTTTGGCTCTTAATACTCCAGCTTGTCGAAGTGATTCTCCAATGTCCAAATCTTTCACATCTCTCCGACTCTGTGCTAAAATGTCCAGTGCTGTCAATCTATTGACATTGACCTCATGTACCTCTATTCTGGTGCTTGAGAGCAAATACTTTACCATCTGCATAAATCGATTTCCACATTCACGAAAGAAATTCGAATTTAAATAGCAGCACAACATTTTGGCTCAACGAGATGCAGTATAAATAGCCTAACAAACTTGAAAGTAAGAAATGTAGTGATCTCTCACTCGTTGAATAACTAATCTTCTAAAGTAACATTTTTATTGTATTACACCTTATACAAAGAAAAATACTTTAGGCAATGGCTACATTGTGAGCAAGAAACATAACATTCATACCTCAATTTGTTTATCCGCCACTGCTTGATGTAATATTGTGTTTCCATACTCATCCTTAGAATTAGCGAACTCTTCATCATTCATCTTCTGCACTAATAGCTTCAATGTCTCTAATTGATTGTGCTGCACACATAGATGCATTATATTGGTCTTTCCATGGTCCAATGGTGCTCGAGCTGCATTGGGACTTGTTTGAACCAGCTCGTTTAAGACATTGAATCGACCATTAATGGCAGCAAGATGAAGACGGTTTCTGCCATCTTGAACAAGAAAACCGCGCATCTCAGGTTTGGCCAACAATAATGCTTTCACTATTTCTAAGTGTCCATTAGCCGATGCCAAGTGAAGAGGTGATGATAATTGTGAATCGAACTCTCCAGCAAGCTCAGGTTTTCGTTCTAGAATTTCTTTTACAAAATCTACATGCCCGCGCAGTACTGCCACATGCAAGGTAGTTTCGTCGGAACAACTAATCTCGATAACTTTATCAAGAACCTCTGGATCTTCTCCGAATAACTCATGCAACGATGGTATACTCCCTTCTACTGCTGCATCATAAAGTCTGCTCCATTCTCTCTCTCACACACACACATTGTTCTTTATGAACAAGACAATGTTCAGAAGAAGCTTAAGCTCGGCTTAGAGATTTTGTACGTAGATACAAATATATAAGCAGTCATATATATATATATCTATAAACAAATTCATATGTATAAACTAACCGATCCAGAAATATATTTAAAAGGAATTGCTGGTGATTGTTGTTGAATCTTTGTCGTGATTGCACTACGGAATGCTGATCTTCATTTGCTGTGGCAACATCAATATCCTCTTAGTCATGAAAGAAAGAGACTGGTGTGTGTGTGTGTTATAGAGAGAGGCTGGCGTTGATACATAGGCTTATTTGGTTGATTGGCGTTAGCTCTAAAGTTTGTGTATGTGTGTGTGTGTGTATATATATATATACACATTTGAAAAACATGTGGATTTGAAAGCAAAAGCTGGATGGAATTAATTCAAATCTGTGCTCCTTTGCTCTATCCTTTTTCTTGGTTCTCCCAATCTTACTCCACAAGATTATCATCATCCACTCTTGCGATGATTCTCAACTGAAACAATAACATTATTGGATCACGAGTTCTTTTACTTAGGATTGCAGATGAACCAAGTTGAGGCGCGTCGAGTAATAGCTGCTCAAGCTCTAGTCCATCCATCAGTCTACAAGATTGTTCGATCAAACTTTGAGCCGAGCTTCCACATTACTGCTCGAGCTCGAAATGAAGAATGTCTGTCAGAAAGAGAAGCCAACCAGAGAAATTTTGGCAATATCTATTTTTCAGTTTGGGAACTTTTGTGACTCCGAGAAGGATGATTGTGAGATATCATATGATTGCTTCTTCATCTAAACAATTGCACTTGTGTAGCATATTTGTTGAATTTGGAAGAAGGAATTCCTTTTCTGAGTGATTTACACAAAATAACCAAGATTTCAGAATAAATCAAGTTAAAATAAATCAAGACAAGCATAAGTTTTACAAGCCAGTACAATCGAGGTCTTAAAGTGCTGTTTAAAAGACAAATGGAAATGCACACACTTGACTTTAACAATGAACTTTTGACATTCCTCATGTCAACTGAATTTGAGGTGATTCATGGTTTCCATTGGCATGGTTTACATCAACTTGATGAGGAGCTTCTTGATCTCCTGTGGCATGGTCTACATCAACTGGAATTTAAGGAGCTTCTTGGTCTCCATTGGCATGGTTTACATCATCTGAACTTGAACGTCTTCTTTGTCTGCGACGTATGACTAAGAGAATCCTTGCCAAAACTGCTATAACAGCTATCACCAGAAAGCAGGAAATCAGAATTAGCATTTTACCAGTTTGACGACTAATATATTTCTTGTACTGCTTTGGAGTAATTGCATTAAGAGAAACAATAGCAACTACCAAAACTGATGTACTTGTCATGCACATGAACACAATCATAATTGCGTTCAAAAACCTCGAAAAATAGTTATTTCTGAACACTAATCCAGTGATGAGCATGATGATTGTGTATAGAAACATAACAAAACTCAATGAGTTGGCTATATAGAAAGCTGTGTATGCACTTAGATGGTTATAAGGCATAACAGCATCCCCTGCCTTGTGTGGATATGGCACAGGGCTACCCTGGAAATTTTCAGTTGAGTCATCTTGCCACACACCACCTGGAGGGTTTATAGCAGCTTGGAAGGTCATTGTCGCTGTTAGGGACGCCACCAACATTATCACGTTTCGCTTCTCCGCCAGCCACTGCCTCAGAGTAACACCACCATGTTGCAAATCTTTCATCAATAGTTTTTTTTATCATCTAAACCTAAGGGTGGAGATGTGATAATTCTAATTTTCAGCATTTTAGAATTTTCTGAAAATTTGTTAATGCAAGGGCATTTTCGTCTTTTCACTTTACCATCCGGGTTTGTGGTTTGGTCCAGTTACATTTCCTACATTTTAATTTATGTGGTGATGTAGCATTTGTATGGTGCAATTGTGTATTTGTGGTGTAATTAGAGACAAAAAAATAAAGAGAAAAGGAAAATAATTTCAAGTGGGGCCCACCACTAACTTATTTGGCTAAGAAATCATTTTTTCTCTCTCATTTTCTTTCTCTTTCCCGTATGCTCTCTCTCCCTCTCGGTTCCTTCTCTTTTTCTTTCATTTTGGAGACAAACTTTGAGATTTGATTACTCAATTATCTTTCATCGGATTTAGGAACCGTTTGAGGCGAAACGAAGCTTATAGCGAGCTCTACGCATCCATACTATCAATTTCCAGATTTGAGCCTTCCTTGGAGCTCGAATTTGGAGGACCTATTCTAGGGATTTTGGCTTGGATTGTGAGGTAGGGACATCTTAAGCCATGGAATCTTGCTCTATAATGAATCATGCTCCTCTATGTGTGTTATAGCATGTTTAATTGTTGTTGATTTTGATTAAAATGATTTAATTGACAACATGCTAGTTATGTAAATGTGTATAACATGGTTGAATGAAAAGTATGTCTATGTGATGGTTGTTTACATTTTTTTTTTTTTTGAGGTTACTAACATGTTATAATGATGCCATGAGAACATGCTTATTTATTATTGTGCTAAGTTCCCATTTGTCAATATATTGAGATCATGACATGAGCCTACATCTCATTGGGTTGCATTAAAAAGGGAAGTGGTTGTCTTGAAATGAAAATGGGGATTTAGGAATGAATGTTTTGGAAAAAAAAAAAATTGGTTTTGACAAACCCGGTCGCTGCGGGGTTACCAACGGGCCGCAGGTTAATGTAGCCTAGGGAGGACTAGGGAGAGTATCCTAGCGTGGCTGAGCTATTCGGGCCCCTCGACGGCGCCACGGGGTCACCAAGGGCCTAGGGACGGTAGCCAATCCTCCTCTCGTCGCGGCGGGGTTACCAAAAGGGGTTACATTAACTTTGAACGTGATGGTTTTGAGAATGAAAACGGGGAGTGACTTTAGCATGCATTGCATCTCACTCCATTTGCATTTGTGTGTGATTGAATTTAACTTGTACTTGTAATTATTTTTCCCCTTCAATGCATGTCCCTAATCTCCCATTGGCCTATGCTTTATTTTGATTCACTAGGACACAAGAATTGTGTCTTAAGTGTCACCTGCTGAGCTATATGCTCACCGCTATATCTATATATATTTTTTTCAGGTCTTGGAAAGGAACTGGTGGATGACAACCCACCTCAAGCTTGAACGGCGTTAGAAGTCCACTTTTGTATCTTTGTATATTCCCCATTATTTTGTAAAACACTAGAAGTGCAAAGATGTATAATTATTTTGTGGAACTTTGTCATGTAATATAACTAAAGTATTGATGATGTTTTGGATGGGGATTTGATAGTATGCAACTTGTTGATGAATGGATGGATAATCCTAGTTTGAAGCATTGTCTAGATTAGTTGGTTGTATCATTATCTTTTGTTACCGTGAATTCGGAATTTGAGCCATGACAGGTTAAAAATGCAATTAAACAGGTTGTGATAGGCCTATTTTTAGGGGAGGTCATGCCGAATTTTTTTTTGTTTAAAAAGTATTAGTTTTGAGTCGTTACAAATTTGGTATCAGAGCAAAGGTTCAAAAACCTTTAGGACGACGGGTAGAGGCCTACTTAGGGTCACATGGAATGTTGTTTGTGTTGCTTACTTGACTACTTGCTACGTGATATCTTACTTAAATGAGCATGCTTAACTGCCTATGTGCTTACTGCTTCCTTGTTTATGTTAAAATGTTTCTTGCATAGTCTTGCATGCTAAGTGTTGTACGGTATCAATTCTTGTTGAGTCGTCCACAGTCTTAGTGTCATGTTTCTGAATCGTTTTCTCGTTTTATAGCACGATGTCACGGCGTGAGGAACCTAGAGAAGTTGGCCCTAGGCCAACAAGGGGTGATGTTGGTGAGAGCTCCAGCTCGAATCCGGAGGAGCTAAATGATGAGAACATGCTTCTTAGGGACTTGATTCCCCCAAGAGCTGTTCCCCCAAGAAGAGAGAATGTTGAAACACCCGTACCCGTAGAAGTGGGTGAAGGTTCTGTGGCACTGGAGTTTAATCGTTTGTTGCAAAATGTCGTGAGGGCAACGATTGCTGCTCAGTCGCAGTCGGCATCACAACCTACAGTTCAAGTTGAGGAGACGCCAGCTCAGAAGCGTCTCAAGATCATAAAAGGGTTTTCTCAGTTGATGCCGGTAGTGTTTGAGGGCAGTGCGGATCCAATGGTAGCAGATGACTACTTGGATCAAGTTGAAACCCAACTAACCTCAATGGATGTGAAAGAGGATCACTTGAAGATCATCCTAACAACTTACAAGTTTGCTATGGATGCCAAGGTTTGGTGGAAGTCGATCACTAACCAGTACAAGATTGAAGAGATGAGTTGGGACAGGTTCAAGGAGCTGTTTTATGAGAAGTATTTTCCGCTTTCCAAAAGATGGGAGTTACAAGACCAGTTTCATAATCTTATTCAAGGGAACATGTCAGTGGCGGAGTATGAGAACAAGTTCACCTCACTCTCCCGTTTTGCTCCAGAAGTGGTGAGAGATGAAGCTAATAAGACTCGGAAGTTTGTTTCCAGTCTTAATGATCAGATGAGGCCGTTGATCATGGCATAGTTCATTAAGGTTTATTCTGAAGCAGTGGAAAGGGCTTTGATGTTGGAGGCTGATAATAAAGAGAAAGATGCAAGAAGAGAACAATGGAAGCAAAAGAGGGGTGCAGGGCTATCTTCAGAGGGATCTTCTTGGAAGAAGAACAAGGGTGGTTCATCTCAGTTTCAGGGACAACAGTCTACAAGATCTGCTCCTACCACTCCTATGCCAGCTGGATCTGACAGGAGTGCAGTTGTTTGTTATCAGTGTCAGCAGCCTGGGCATTACAAGTCCAGTTGTCCGATGAGATCGTCTTCAGTTTCGTCAGCTCCGAAGGCTTGTTATGGGTGTGGCCAGCAGGGTCACTTGATTCGTGATTGTCCAGGCCAGGGAGCAGGCACAGGTAGTGGCAGGGGGTCACGACAGAGGCCGTCTCAGTCGGCTATAGTTCAGTCAGGTTTCAGACCGCCACCACCACAGCCTGCCATGTCTTCACAGGGTTCACGGTCAGTTAGGAAGGATACTCCTACTATGTCAGTGCAGCAGTCAGGTGTTCAGGTTGGCAGTCCTCAGGCACAGGTACCACAGGGACGTGTTTTTGCACTGGCACAGACCGATGCATCTTCTGGACCGTCAGTTCTTCGAGGTATATTTCTAGTGTTTGGTTGTTGGGCCCGTGTTTTGTTTGACTCTGGTGCATCTCATTCTTTCATTTCATCATCATTTGCACTTGCATCGGGGTTGGAAGTTAGTTTATTGGAACGGGCGTTGAGTGTCGATACGCCAGTTGGGGTTTCAGTGTCTTTGAGCCGAATTGTGCGGGAGTGTCCCATTGTGATAGTCGGGTGGACTTTCGTGTTTGACTTATCCTCCTGGAGATGACTAGCTTTGATGTCATTCTCGGGATGGATTGGTTGGCTTCATTTCATGCCACGATCGACTGTTACAGAGGAAGGGTTATAGTTTGTACTTCCGAGGGAGACTATTTCTTTTTCGTGGGAGATCGGAGTGATTCCCACATTTCATCGTTTTATGGAGTTCGTGGACGAAGTCATGGTGATTACTTCTTGGCTAGCCTTATAGCCGAAGAAGATGATGTTGGGAAAGAGGATTATCCTGCGGTTGTTTGTGATTTTCTGAACGTGTTTCCGGAGGATTTGACAGAGTTGCCTCCACACCGAGGAGTGGAGTTCTCTATTAATTTGATGCCAGGTACCGCGCCGATTTCTATGGCACCATATCGAATGGCCCCAGTTGAATTGGATGAATTGAAGAGGCAGCTTGATGATTTGAGGATGAAAGGTTTCATCCGACCGAATGTGTCACCGTGGGGCGCACCGGTCTTATTTACTAAGAAGAAAGATGGATCTTTGAGGTTGTGCATTGATGCGACCCGAGCGTGTGCACAAAATAATGCACAACACTTTGGTTTTGGAAATGGTATCAAGCGGGCATCATAGTTTACATTTGTAAACCGCTAGACACTTATACTATGTAGTATGAAGTGAGAAGGGATCGAACCCAAGGGATTCAACACGTGTTGGGATTAAACTTGATTTTAATGCTAATTAGATTGTAAAAGAGAGAAGAGAGAGAGAGAGAAAGAGTGTGAGAGAAAAATATTTTGGTGGAGTGATTAAACTAAAATTCAATTAAAAGCATGAAAACAGAAATGACATTAAACTAAGAATTAAAGAGATAGGAAGAGAGTCTTAGGGTTAGGATTCACCACTAAGCCCATGCAATTAACCATATGCTTTCAATTAATGGGGAATTTATTAGTGTAATTATAGATATGGTCACATTATCATCACAAATCACAATTGTAAGCATAGATTATCAACATCAAGAATGAATTGTCTACCTAATGACAATTAAACTAAAGTGTAGAACCCATTCAAGACTACGTCATAACCCACCATACACATTCACAAATGTATCCAATAAGAGCACACATTAATCAAGAAGATAATACTAATTGTAATTAGAAGCATGGATTAAAATAATCAAGCACAGATTGCCTACTTTACTACAATTAACTAATGACAAATAAGCTAATTTGTAAAACAATCTATCATGATTAAGCCTTTATCCATCAAATTAATTGACAATTGTATCAACTAAGTCTCATGCTATGGCCATCACTAAACACAACTAAAAGAAGTATCTAGTATAGAGTATAATTCTAAA